CTCTCTCTCTCTCTCTCTCTCTCTCTCTCTCTCTGTGTGTGTGTGTGTGTGTGTGCGCGCGTCTCTCTCCCTCTGTGTGTGTGTGTGTGTGTGTGTGTGTGTGTGTGTGTGTGTGTGCGTGCGTGTGTGCGTCTCTCTCTCTCTCTCTCTCTTCTGCTGGGGGATGGGGCACGGAATGAGAAGCAAACAACAGGTTGGGAAAAACAGGTTCAGGATCAGGGTTGGGCAAACGACAGGTTCAGCGGAAGCATAGCCTACTGTCTTCCCCTGAACACAACGGACCCTCATTATGGATGTATTTGACCGAAAAGATGGCTGGAGTACTTACATAATGAGGGTGCGCTGTGTTCAGGGGGAGACGACAGCGGTTTAAAATCAGTACGATACAGCAAAGAATAGCATGACTTGAGGGGGGAAGACGGGGACGGGGGGGAGAAAGGCATGATGACCCGAACGAAAGAATGAATGCACACACACTCTGAATCATCACGGAAAAGGTAAGAAACGGACCCGGTTTCCAGCAGGTGCAGCTCCCCACCAATAGATGGAGCCTCCCCGAGAGTGATAGCGGTGTCTGCTCTTATCAGAGCACCCCTACCACCACCTCGGGTTGTTCTGGGAAAAAAAAAAAAAAAAAAAAAAAAAAAAAACGGCCGACGGGAAAAGGGGTTGATCCTCGTAACTCCCGGTACTTGAGTAGTGCTTGTGAACTTCCAACTCAATGCTACAAATAGAATTGCGAAGGGACTAAAAAAAAAAGGTGGAACGGACACCACACCTCTTTCTTTAATAAGAGCATTTAACTTAACACTGTCTCTAGAGTCTACACACTGGGCCCAGTTTAACCGGGGAAAAAATAATAGCAATAATATTATAATAATAATAAAAAAAAAGTGGATTATTTAAACCCGCAGAACCAGAGAGGAGGTCCTGACCCAACAGATATTTGAAAACCCGCACGTGGTTGATAACCTGCACAGTTAATTAATCCTTTGCAGGAAAAAAAAGAATGATTTCAGTATGGCTTAGGGGAGGGAGGAACTAGCGTGTAGCTGTCTATCTGGCGCCGGATTCGCGGTGAAGAGGTTCCCCCTTCCCTCCAATATCCTGCTCAGTCAATCCCCTGGATCCCAGGGTAATCAATGCTGGCAGGAACACCCCACAATCTTTTCTGATGTATCCCAAATTCATTCTGTATTTGGGACGCTGGACCCGCTTTCCAGCAGGTGATGCTCCCCACCAATAGATGGAGCCTAAAAAAAAAAAAAAATGTGAGGCTACGCCTGCTTAGCCCCTACGGGGCCCTATCTGCAACAAGGTCGGCCGCCCTAAGTGAAGGCAGGCACGACAGGCCCTTCGGGCCTCATTCTTCAGGGT